TCCGTGACTCCCTTGTCCGCTCCACACTCCCCTCCAGCTCCACCACACCCGGCACTTTTCCCTGCAACCGCAGGAAGTGCTACACCTGCCCCCATACCTCCTCCCTCACCCCCATCCCAGGCCCCAAGAAGACTTTCCACATCAAGCAGATGTTCACCTGCACATCTGCCAATGTGGTATACTGCATCCGCTGTACCCGGTGTGGCTTCCTCTACATCGGGGAAACCAAGCGGAGACTCGGGGACCGCTTTGCAGAACACTTACGCTCGGTTCGCAACAAACAACTGCACCTCCCGGTCGCGAACCATTTCAACTCCCCCTCCCATTCCTCAGACGACATGTCCATCCTGGGCCTCCTGCAGTGCCACAACGATGCCACCCGAAGGTTGCAGGAACAGCAACTCATATTCCGCTTGGGAACCCTGCAGCCCAATGGTATCAATGTGGATTTCACAAGTTTCAAAATCTCCCCTCCCCCCACCGCATCCCAAAACCAGTCCAGCTCGTCCCTGCCTCCCTAACCTGTTCTTCCTCCCACCTATCCCCTCCTCCCACCTCAAGCCGCACCTCCATCTCCTACCGACCAACCTCATCCCGCCCCCTTGACCTGTCCGTCCTCCCTGGACTGACCTATCCCCTTCCTAACTCCCTACCTACACTCACCTTTCCTGGCTCCATCCCCGCCTCTTCGACCAGTTTGTTTCCTCTCCACCTATCCTCTCCTCTATCCCTCTTCTATCCGCCTCCCACTCTCTCCCTATTTATTTCAAAACCCCCTTCCCCTCCCCCTTTTCTGATGAAGGGTCGAGGCCCGAAACGTCAGCCTCTCTGCTCCTATGATGCTGCTTGGCCTGCTGTGTTCATCCAGCCCTGCACCTTGTTGTCTCGGATTCTCCAGCATCTGCAGTTCCTACTATCTCGTATTGTTTCAGTTTTCCTGTCACATGATATACTGCTTTATTTAAATTACATTAACTGCTTTTTCTAACTGGTTGTAACTGTATTTGAGAGATATTGCTGCGAATGTACATTCTCCTTGGTGTCAGCAAGCTCAGACTTGTGCAAACAGCCAAACGCTCCCTCCCACCCCCTCAAATTTGGTAAGGAACTAGGAGAGTTTGAAAAATTACATGACAGAAATTGATAAATATTTTTTCTTGGTCTGTCATAGCACTGCTATTTTGGAAAATTCTTGCAGAAGGCAAAGCAAATTAAACTAGTCCCAAGCAGAAATACAAGCCAGACGAGCAAGTTTTCTAAAACACAACAAAAAGCACGGAGATCAGACAACACAGCTTATTGATAATATTGCAGCTAACTGAATACCTTTTTAAACTACTGAATATTTTTAAACAATAAGCTGAATTGTTGATTTGAAACAATCATTGTTAATACCATAAATAGTATCAAATTGAAAGATCACATAACTCAGTGATTTTGTTAACAAGGGAAGTACTCACTTAAATAATTGTCATGCATAAGATTTTCTTAAACAACTTTCACAAGAGATTGTGTGTTAATTAAGTAATCGTTCAGATTTTGAATTAGGTTTTGTCATGAAATAAAACCACTTCTTTGATAAATCTTGAATCCATTTGATACACCACTGTTGAAATACAGTAAAGTGTTTAAGACTAAGTTTATCTGGTAACACTGCAGCTTGATTAACTAGTACACATTTCAAATTTTTCTTTTCTCATTTTAAACATGCTTTTCTCATAAGCCATTCACAATTCCCTGTAACTAGTATAGTTAGATTGTTAGGCTTACCTAATAATGAGGCATTTAAAAAGGACAAATTACCATTAATAGCACTTGCAGTCATAACTGGTGCCTAATAGATAACAATTAAGAGGCTGGGAAACCCTATGTTCCAGCATGACCTATTTTACCTAATCAACCTGTTCAGAGATATTATTACACACTACTGCAGCAGGTGGGACTTGAATCCAGGTCCCTTGGCCCAGGAGAACGAACACTACCACTGCATCACAAGAGAGCCCTGACCCTATTTTAATATCTCTAGTTTGTTGGGGTAGGCAATAGGCTAGTCGTGTTATCACTGGAGAGTTAATCCACAGGCCCAGATAACCTTCTGGGGACGGATTCAAATCCCACCACAGCAGATAGTGGAATTTGTATTTATTTTTTTAAAAATCTGGAAGAGTCTGATGATGACCATGAATCCACTGTCGATTGTCAGAAAAACCTATCTCGCTCACTAATGTCCTTTAGGGAAGGAAACTGCTCTCCTTACCTGGTCTGGCCGACATGTGACTCCAGAACAACAGCAATGTGGTTGACTCTTAACTGCCCTCTGGGCAGTTTGGGATCTGCAATAAATGCTGGCCTAGCGAGCACCACACATCCCTTAAATGAAGAGGGGGGAAAAAATCCATTGGCCACACCTACAATAGAGAAATCTACAGATTTGAAGGAACCCTCACTGCTGTCAGTGAAATAAGTTTAAATTCAATGGCAGCCATTACAGCCTTGAAGTTCACAACTGCAACATCATTTCTTGCAATCCCATTAGAGTCATGGCTCACAGATTAGGAAACCCTGAATTAATGTGGGCTTTTTGATAATAAGTGTTTTATTGGAGTTTCTAATTTCTTAAAACCTATCAATCTTTAATATAGTAGATGTACAAAATGAACATATGGAACTATAATTCATTACCATAGACATTCAAAACAAAAATTTATGGCTATTTGGGAAAATTGTAATGCATTTTGGTGCTTTACAAGAGGTGTCAAACTTTGAAAATTCATCAGAAAAGTAAACAAGAATACTAATTGTTCTTTTTCTGCTTGCGCAGACCCTTTAATGGCAACTCCACTGAAGAGTCAATTCTCCAACAGATTAACCAGTTAGTACAGCACCTTGATGCTCCTGAACAGTTCCTGCAGGATACCTTCATCGTTGCTGCTTATAACAACCCTGCTGCTCCAAATCTACACAACGAAATCTGGTTTATTCATAGACCTTGAGTAAATCAAAGAGGTCTGGTATGAAGCACAGACCTTGGGCAGTGACTAATTTTTTGAAAATATGAAACTAATGTGCTAGCATGAACTTAAATGTAAACTCACATTGATAAAAACGCAAAAACACTAACATGAAAGACATAACATATTAAAATGATCAGATTGATTTCTAAAGAAAACTAGTCTGTTTCGAATGTAACTTTGCTAAAGGCTTATAATTAATTACCGAGTGTCCTCCCAAAGTCATGGCTGCATTCCTGAAAATCATGCCTTCGAAAGAAAAGACATTACATGAAGCATTAAAACTTAAATGAGGTATTGTAGGGGTTCTAAGCAAACAAAAAATTAAAAACATTATATTTTTACCCTCTATGTTGAAATAAAGCACCACCTGTACTTTTAAACAGCTAAATTCCTACAATGATAAATGAAATAACAGTTCAAATAAAATCAATTTAAAAATGAGAAAAATGCAACATTCCACTTACAGAACCTCCTGTAAATGGACCACCCACAAATGGAACCTAGGGCTGCCGTCTGCAGCCTGAGGCAGGGGGGCTTTGCTGATTGGGCTGCCTGTTGAGGCAGTTGCTTATTCTTGGCTACATTGAGAGTGATATCAGGTGGTGTATTTTTAGGGGTCTGCAACACCCTTCTTCCTAGCCAGCACATTGCTCGGTGGGGCTGTGCTTCCTGGTTGGCTTCCCCAGTCCTCCTCCTGTCTCTCTTGCTCTCTCTCATATGTGGCTGACCAGCACATAGGTTCACGTGTCAGATCATGGCATGCAGCTGGTGGGGTAATTGTGGGGGAGTATTGGATTTTGGTTTGGGCTCTGGGGTGGTGGGCAATAGCTGTGTAGTTCAGATGGAGTTTTGTGGCTATATTCTGTCAGTCAGTCTGTCTGTCTGTCTGTCTGTTGGCTGTGTGCCACAGTATGCCATGAGGACCCTGCTGCCTTAGGGGAGAAGGTGTGGAGACTGCCGCATGACAGTGCCCGGCGCTCCACAGGGAGTGAGTCGGACTGCTGTTGAGTTCTGTTGTGTCTGGGTGGCTCCTGTGGAAATGTGGGTAGATGCCACTTGGCATAGCAGGAGCAGATGGTGGTCAGAGTAGGCAAATGAAATCTGTGGATGGGGTTCCTTTTTGAAAGCCTCAGACAGTCAAGCCAGAGGTTGGCAACAGCCTCAAGTCAGAGAGGCAGAGATCACTTCTAAATGGCACCAACTGGGGCAGTAAGTTACTGCAGTATGTATTGTAAGCAAGTTAATACCAAGCTTTCGTTATTAAACTATCAATCATGACAAATGTTAAACTGTTTCTTACGATGAAAAGTTGTCCTTTTGAGTAGAACAAATTTAAAATGTACTTTATCTATTGGGTTTAGGAAACAGCAGAAGAAAACATGGTTTCAAAAGAGAACTTGTTTTGAAAAAAGCTAAAGTGAGTCACAGGAAAAGTGATTCTGTTTAAATCTCAAATTTATAGCTTATTCACAACAATTTTACCAGCTATTCTATGTATTTCACTGTAGCTGGCTGTAAAAAGAATAAAATAGATGTTCATTTAACTTTTATTCAAAGTTTTCTTCGAAAGAACAAACTAGGGAAGTATTTAAAAAAAATACAACCTTTAGCTTTTCTTGCACAAAAGCCAGCAGCATTTGCTGGCTTGCACATCCTCTACCATCACGAGAGGCATTTTCATAAAATCATTCACTTTTCTTAGGTAAACATAAAAACTAGAAGCATTCAGTTCTTACAGCATACTCTGCCGTTCGATCTGATCATGGCTGGTCTTCTATTTCAATGCTACATTCCTGCTTGATGCCTTCAAATCTAAAACATTAGCCAACTCTATGCAAAGATATTCAGATTTCTGTGGTGGAAAATTCAACAGATTTACCAGCTATTGAGTGAAGAAGGGTCTTCCTCATCTCAGTCCTGAATGGTCTACACCCCTGAGATTGTATTGCCTAGTTCTAGAGTGCCCAATCAGGGAAAGCATCCTCCCTGCATCTAATCTGTCCAGCACTTTTAGAATATTTTATTGCAATCAGATTCCGTTTCCTCCGTCTAAAATCTAGCGAATACAGGTCCAGTTGGGAAAAAAATTTCTCCTCATACATCCTGCCAGCCCCAGTATCAGTGAACTTCAATTGCATTCTATGGCGAATATATTCTTAAAAAGTAGGGAGACTAAAACTGCATACAATACTACAGATGTAGTCTTGCCACGGCCCTATATGACTACAGTAAATATCCCTACTTCTGAACTCATAGTCTTGCAATGAAGGCCAATATTCTATTTGTTTTCCTAATTGCTTGTTCCTAAAGGACACCCAGATCCCTTTATTTATCTGTACTTTAAATATATCATTTAAATAATATCTTTTCTTCCTTCCTGTTTTTCACACCAAAGTGTATAACTTCGCATTTAGCCACATTGTACTGCATCTGCCATGTGTTTGCCCACTCAACTTACCTAAACCTTTCCTCGCAGCCTCTTCCCAACCCTGGCCAGTCTGGAGTCATCAGGAAACTCAAGTTACCTCATTCCTGGTCATCCATATACATCATGAATAACTGGGGCCCAAGCACTGATCCTGTAATATTCCACGAGTTACAGTGCCTGCAACTCGAATATATATTGCTTATATTTTAACTCTGCCCTCTTACAAGGGACTTTATCAAATGTCTTCTGAAAATTTAAGTACATCCAATGGCTCTCCCTTTTCATATTTACATCCTCAAAAAACTCGATTTGTGAAATATGATTTGCCTTTCATAAACCCATGCTTTGTCCAATCCACATTTTAGTCCTGCCACATCCAGTCATGTATAGTGATGGCCTCAGTCCCCACTACCTAAGTGTAAAACTTCAACAGGTTTTCTGGATAGCTATCTGGATGAACAAATAAGCAACTTACTGGAGGAAGTGGCTCCACAAATATTCCCATCCTCATTGATGGGGAAACCCAGCAAAATACAAGGTCAAAGCATTTGCAACAATCTGCAGCCTGAAGTGGTGAGTGGATGATCCATTCCCCCCCACCTCCAGAGTCCCACCCAGCATCACAGATGCCAATCGTCAAAGAATTTGATTCATGCCACGTGAAACAAAGAAATCACTGAAGGCACAGGATACTACAAAGCCCATGGGCCCTGACAACAGCATCAAAAACATGCTTCATAACTTGTCACATCCCTAGCTAGGCTGTACAGCTACATCACTAGCATCTAACCAACATTATGGAAAATTGCCCAAGTATGCTCTGTGCAGAAAAACCATGACAATTACAACCTAGCCAAGTAAAGCATGTCAGTCTACCCTTGATCATCAGCACAGCAATAGATGGGGTCATCAACGCTGCTACTGAACATGACTTGCAAAAGAAAAATCTGCTAATTTAAGTTCCGCAGTTTGAGTCGCTTCCTGACCTTATTGCCAGTTTGGTCCAAACATGGACAAAAATGCTGAATTCTAAATATCAGGCGAGAGGGAATACCCTTTGACATCAAGGTTGTATTTGATCAGGTATGTCATGAAGGATTCCTAGCAAAATTCAAGTCAATGGATATTAGAGGAAAACTCTCCACTGATCAGTGTCAAATGTAGCACAAAGGAAGATGGATGTACTTGTTGGGGATCGGTCACAGAAATCATTGCAAGAGTTCCTCCAGACATCTTCAGCTGCCTCTTCAATGACTTTTCCTCCATCATAAGGTCAGAAGTGGGGACATTCATGTTAAGATTGCACAAGTTCACAGCACCATTTGTTACTCCTCAGATACTATCCATATGCAGCAAGGCCTGGAAAACATCCAGGTTTAGGCTTATAAATGGCAAGTAACATTCACACTACACACACACTAGGTAATGCTGAATCGCTGAATCTCCATCACACTGGCTATTACCACTGGTCCGAAACTAAACTGGACTAACTATACAAATACTGTGGTCATTACAGCAGGTGACAATCGGGTGAGTTGCACGAAGGAATCTAACAGTTGTTGTCATGATTGCAAGTCCATCCTTTTTTGATTTCTGAAATCGCATCTTTAGTATTAAACTGTGAACAAAGTTATAGTGGAGACAACAAGGTGCAGGGCTGGATGAACACAGCAGGCCAAGCAGCATCATAGGAGCAGAGAGGCTGACGTTTCGGGCCTCGACCCTTCATCAGAAAAGGGGGAGGGGAAGGGGGTTTTGAAATAAATAGGGAGAGAGTGGGAGGCGGATAGAAGAGGGATAGAGGAGAGGATAGGTGGAGAGGAAACAAACAGGTCGAAGAGGCGGGGATGGGGCCAGGAAAGGTGAGTGTAGGTAGGGAGTTAGGAAGGGGATAGGTCAGTCCAGGGAGGACGGACAGGTCAAGGGGGCGGGATGAGGTTGGTCGGTAGGAGATGGAGGTGCGGCTTGGGGTGGGAGGAGGGGATAGGTGG